CTGGCCAGTTTGATTTGGCTCAAACATTTCTTACCAGTCTGACACACTTCAAACATTTTTTACCAGTTTGAAACCCTTCAAACATTTCTGACCACTTTCACTTGGCTAGGATATTTTTGAACACAATTTATGTACCCAAACATTTCTGGTCACAATATTAAAGGTCAAACATTTTCTACCCAATCCAATATTATATTTTCTCCCAAAGGCAAAAAAATAAATGGCTGCACAACCTATTAGCCTGGATACATTCTTACATTTTACAAGGCTAATAGCTTGTTCAAGGTGGGTGACTGAAGTGAAGGTTTCACACCAAGCCGTAGTATTTGGAGCTGCATTTACAAACAGCTCATTTACAAACTCAAGCATATTCAAGTCCACTGCAAGAGATGGATTAACTGGTGCACATGGAAAGAACCCTAGCTCAAGGAGTTGAAGTGCTGGGGAAGTGCAATTGCAGAGGGAAAGAATCTCAATACCTGCCAAAATTATTAGTGACTTCTCAAAATATACTAGAACACATACACTCAAAGAAAATGCATGCAACATTCAATTGTCTGCCTGACCCACAACCAGCACATCCCCTTCAAGAATGCACTTGCGCCATATCTCGCAAGGAGTCCGTTTCATGTAGAAGTTTGACATACGGCTCCATTAGACTGGGAAGAACCTCGGTTTCCCATCGCTGAAATTGTTTCTGCTTTTTTCCTGGTAGCTGGACAGTATCACCTTCATTTTCAAAGGTAAGAGTTGTTGCCAGTGGCTGAAAAGGGTCTGCTTTCTTGGAAACCCCAGGCTTAAAGGGCTGGACAAAATGTCCAGCTGGTGTGTACAGATTTCCTTTAACAGCTTTATGAGCCTTCAAGGATTTGGGTGCAGTGTCTACAGGAAAAAGGCCAGCATTTTCTGGTGGCAAAGACTTAGCTGGTTTTTTCTTGTACATTGACATGATGACTTGGCTGAGTGAAGGACACACAGAGAAGGGGGGAAGGAAGCAGAATGTCGATCATGGACAAGGCACTCTTATCCGACCCCCATACTTTCCTAAAACGGACACAAGTTCACATGTATATTAAAAAAAGAAAGGTACCAAAATAAACGCACAAGCACTTCAGTCACCCACCTTGAACAAGCTATTAGCCTTGTAAAATGTAAGAATGTATCCAGGCTAATAGGTTGTGCAGCCATTTATTTTTTTGCCTTTGGGAGAAAATATAATATTGGATTGGGTAGAAAATGTTTGACCTTTAATATTGTGACCAGAAATGTTTGGGTACATAAATTGTGTTCAAAAATATCCTAGCCAAGTGAAAGTGGTCAGAAATGTTTGAAGGGTTTCAAACTGGTAAAAAATGTTTGAAGTGTGTCAGACTGGTAAGAAATGTTTGAGCCAAATCAAACTGGCCAGAAATGTTTGAGGTGTGCCAGAGTGGCTAGAAATGTTTCAGTGGTGTGACATCACTTGGATATGTTCTAAGCATGTCACACTGCTGA